TCTTTCCCTCATTTTTACCTGTGTAAAGAAATGTGTCCTAGAAAACTACAGGAAGCAAGAACAAATTTCAAGTAACTAGCACAAGTTGGGTTTTGTTAAAAAGTAACTTACACTAAGAGTCACAGTGAGTAACTAAGCAGCTTTGAACAAGAGGTCCTGGTTTTAAAGTAACTTCACTGCAAATCGTTTGGAAAGTACATACATAGGAAAACAATTAAAGGTGTATATATCACTCATCTACCTGCTATGTCAGACATTTTCAACATTCCTTCACCCAAATGTCTAGAAATTCTTATGTTTAAAGAATTTAAATCTCTGTGAGGCATAAAAGATATATATATATATACAAGCCTATTTTATCAGGTATGTAAAGGCAACTAACTTGAAGACAAAACAGCTCATCTAATCAGCTATAGCAAAAATGTAAGTTAGTTAAAGAAAGGAAGCAGAAGTTTATTCAGATTAAATTCAAATGAAGCTTCAAATATAATGAATGTAATCAGGATATTTTTCGCAAGGACACCATTTGGTGATTAAAGGAAAGACATAAGAAAGTGAGAAGGCATGGTTTCTGGTAAGTTTAAAATTTAGTAGAGCTGGAAGTTCACATACAAATATTTTCTTACACATACACAAATTCAAAACATTCACAACTACTGCACTCAACTTTTATCTTTAAACAACCTGCGTGGAAAAGATTCATGTTACTGTTAGAAGCAGTTAAGTTTGGGGGGTTTCGTAATGCTCAGTGCTCGATGTCCTGAAAGTTGATCTTACACATTCCTATGGTTTGGAAGTTCGGAAAACCTATTACATAGCTCAGCACCTTGAACCTGTTACGTGTATCTGTTTCCAAGGATATGTCCAGCACTAATGAACACTGCCATACTGGAACAGCCTTATGCCCTACACTCTTTAAGTTACAAGCTTAAACTACCCAGAAACTCCAGCTAGTACCAAAAAGCAGTCCACGAATGTATTTTTTACTGGTAGCAAATTGTTTCCCTATGTAGAGGTTTAATCATGGCTAGGCTGGAAAGGGCATGATGACAATAGTACCACCACAACCCCACACATACATATAAACCTCAAAGGCCAGACACAAAAACCTCATGGAAGGAATGCACCTTCAGTACCTATAGTCTTAAAAATTCCTGCCAAACGTTTTGTTCCTGCATGACAGACCAACTGTCCTGCCATGATACCACAGGGATTTTGAGCATTTCAGGTTTATTCCACTACAGCTGGAATGGTAACTCTTTCCTTGAGGACTTTTAACTTTGTATGTCACTACCTGTTTGCCAGAGTCATGAAGTTGTGGACCCTTAAACAGAATTTAAGATCCTCTAATTTCTCTGGGGCTTTGATTGGTGGGTTAGTAACCGAGAAGTCACCTGAAAACAACTTTCTTTTGTTCCTTCCCCAGTACACACAGCCACATTCATGCTTCTGCCTGTGCCTGCTTATTTGAGAACAAAGACCAGGACAAGATTTGGAAGTCGCCAGCTAGGGGATTTTACAGACGTGTCTTTATTATTTATTGGCTAAGAAGCTGAAAAAACAGTATTTGCTTTAGGAATTAAATAGGAGCATTCAGCACATGCAGTCACAACAGAATAAGCACTGGGACTGACTGCAGAAATCTTCCAAGTATTTCCCAAGCTAACTTGAAATAAGATTAACTTTTCTGTTATATGCACAAACACATCTGTATCTCTAAGCTCTGTGTGTGCTTTAGTCTCCTTTTTCCTGGTAACACTGCAGGAGAGCAGAAGATGTGGGTTGACACGATTCTCACTCCCAGAGCCATGCTGCGGAGCACCTCTTACATCAACCTTATGTGGTCAGCCCAGGGAGCAGTAAAAATTCTCTATTATGTTAGTGTTGTTGCTTCATCAGTGGGAGCCAAAGACAGTGGTGAAAACCCCTCCTGTTGTACAGGTTCGTTTACTGCCACTAAATCAGCTGGATCTGACATCTTCAAATATTTCCTTGTAAATATGGTATGAAAGACAGCTATAAAGGCAGGGGGAGAAAGGGTGTTTGTTGTTATTTTTAAAGGCAGCATCCTATTCGAACTAGCTTCATTTCAAATTCAGGGTTACAGTTCTTTTAAAATGGCTATCCAGATATTGCGTTTCAGAATATAATCAGCACTCTTCTACGTCTACTTTTTTCACTTTAATATGTTTCATAACTCACACTGCAACAGACACAGTTCCTACAACTCAAGCCTGTAAATAAGGGTCAGCATTCTGCACAACTCCTACTTCAAACTAGATTTACACTAACTGAGGTATATTTCATAATACTTGCAATGCCAACAGCACTGTTTAGCTTTAGTGTAACTGTTCAGTTTCTATTCAAGGCACAGAAAGCCAGTCATATGCAGTAATTTGATGGCTGCTACACGTAATTAAAGTAGCATTATCATTTCTGTCCCTACTACCTTATACATTTCTAAAAGTTACTTTCATACAGTGTTAGAAATTAAACTACAGGCATAGAAGAAAAAAAGAGACCAGGTTGTCTCCCAGTATTACAGCTACTCTTTACGGTCCATGGAGCAAGCAGATTTTTCCTCTAAGTGATCATTTAGGCAACAAGAGTGTGATAAGCTACTTATTTACACAATTTATACTTACTACAATAATAAAATTGCAATAAAATATTAAAAATCACACCTATATATTAATGATCCCTATTAAGAAAAAACAAGGAAGACATTCACAACTTCTTTCATCTCAAAGTGGCCACAGTATTTTTAAGTTGTGATTAGAAGCTTCAAACAGTATCAAACAAAACATTTTTGTCTCTCAAATCACAGCACCTACCAACACACTGAGCAAGTCCCTACTCACCTTAAGAAGTTTTGCTTACAAGCAATTCATTACTGAAAGTCAGTTCTCAATCTGTGTTGTTAATGAGTCTTAGAACACCAGTTAGATCAATATTGACTCAATAAATCTCCATTTTCACTTGACTAACCCTAAGGTGCCATTTATGTCCTCAGGACTTCAAAACCAAGCATGAAATATTCCTAGTCCATAACCTGGTATCAAAAGAACTTGCACTATTCTCAGCCACAGATGGAAAAAGTATAGATAAATTCATCTGTGAAAGCTCTTCAGTTGAGTTTATGCTACAGAAATTAGACCCCTGATTTCTGCCACCACAGTAACGTGCATAAATGCATTTCTCTTGTAGGTGAACATGAATCTGTTATCCCAGAATCAATGGTCAATGCTGTTATAATTAATAAAAAAGTTAGATCAAAGTCATTTACAGAGCACGTTCCTGTCAGAAAGGTCAGACTGGAGATGACCAGCAGTGGCAACGCACAAGACAATTCGCTGTGGCATACCCACCTGGGAATTCACCGCCTGGTGCAAGCCACTTGTCAAGGAGCTACCCAGGATGTCTCCCACTGCAAGAACGGACCATGCAGCTTTGACAAACAGAGACTGATTTCCCAGGAAAATGGCACACTGCAAGCCAAAGAATTAGAAGAAGCTAGGGAACTATCTGCGCTCAGTCAACTGGGAAGTTCAAGCATGTTGAACAATTTCAGTAAAGAGAATGGCAGCAGCATTTCAAGCACCTGCCCAAAGCCTCCTCTGAAATCACCCACTTCAGCAGTTTGGACACATCAACGCATTTCTTCTACAAAATGCATGCCAGCCTGCAATAAACTGAACTTTTACCCTTTCCCTAATAAAAAAGGGCCGAGAATTTCTGAAGCCGCAAAGAGGCTTGGATTATATGTCTCAGAATGAAGACATTCTGTAATACATAAAACTTAGCAAAAAACATGAGTGAAAATAGTCTCCTTACTTATACTGGTTGACCTGCTGAGTGTCTATTACTTTTACTAGCCAAGGAAGATTCTTACTACATAATCTATTGTTTTACAGTACAGTGTAAAATGAGACATTCTTATGAAGATGCTGGGCTGTGATGACAGATACTCAGTTCTGTTACTTGAATCTTGAGACACAAGAGCAATTTCATCTTTTTTTTTCTTTCTTTCTTTTGTTTTTCTCCCTCCCTCTTTTCAGGTCACCGATTTCAGAAGCTAAGATTTTATCACAGCAATATCTGAAATACCTGAAAGAGCTATAGCAAAGACTAGTAGAACTACCGATGAAGCAACCAGGCTGTATTTCAGTAGGGTAATATTTACTTTAGATAATAAACAAGTAGCAAATGAAACAGTATTGAAGGTGATTGGCATAACTGATGTATGATTTCATCACTCACTTTCCTTAAAAAAAGTTATTAAAGATACGTTCTGATGTGCATACTTTTAAAATTAATGAATAAAACTCCTGCTAATTTCTATTGTTTTAATGGCAATAAATAAATGTTTTAATAGTAAATGGCACATTTTTCTTATAAAATCTATAATACATATTGTTGGTTCCCATCTATCCCTGGTATTTCATTAGCAAACAAAAGTCTGAAATAATTACTTAGCTCCCTGGTACCGTGTATCAACAAACCTTCCTTACCAGAGCATTATGCCTCTTTCTGCTGTTACAACTGTACATGCAAAAAGGGGGTATAACCATTTAAACTACACAAATATAACTGTAGGAGTATAACTATTTTTCATAGATAGGGTTTAACACTTTCTCCTGTGGCTCAACTGCACCACAAACCTGCACAAGTTTTTAAGGGTGAGTAATTACTGTCAGTCTCCCCTCCTGCAAGATCTTCAGAGGAAGCTGACACTATTTTTGGGTGCTGGCTCTTTTGAACCATTCCATATCTATCTGAGCCCTGAAAGGACAGCAAAATGAAGATCAAGCCGATGCCCCACAAAGCTCTTCATGATCCCTAGAAAAAAGTCTGCAACCACACATCCCCAGTTACCACCTTTGTCTCGAAATCACACTATCCACACATAAAATGTGAGGAAAAAAAACCCAAAAAAACCCAGATGCCAAAGATGCTCAGCTGTGGTTTATGTTCTTCTAGACACAAACTCTTCTCAGCAAGAAAGATAAACCATCCCCTCATAAGATATCTTGGAAATGGAGCGATACCAATGTGCTAATAAAAGCACACTGTCAAAGAGATGAGTATTATTAATTTCTAATAGAAACTACCATTTTCTTTGCACCCAACACAACTTCATTAATTCTTCCAATTCCACTGACTTTTTTTTGTGCTTGATGGAGGATACAATGCCTGGGGATGTTTGCACAGAGCTGCCAGAGCCCACGCTTCCATTGCAGAAGATTCATGGCTGTAAGTGTATCACAGTACTTTGTAGGTCCACAAAAATAGAAAAAATACCATGGAATATAATGCTATTTCACTCCATCTGGCCAAACATTGTTTTTGCTATGCCACTCACCAGTTTCAGACCCAAACTCGGTAACATCCCACACTGATCCAGCCACCACTAGCAGGCAGGCAGACACTTCATCTCCTCTAAGTGACAGTCCTTAAAAGAGTGCGGAAAAGCACTAGCTATTACCACAGCCAGGAGTATGCCTCAGTAACTCCTGTAGAATTTCCCAGTCATCCTCAGTAAAAGCAGCAAAATGAAGACATAGGCTTGGGAAGAGGTGTTGATTGCGATTTTTCAGGTTTTCCAGTGTTTTCAGTTAACTGGCTTGCACAGATTAGTTTCTAGCACAGATGCCAATTTGTTCCTGGGTAGGCATGAGACATTAATAAAGGATCATAGGTACATTATCTTAAATAAACACAGACCTTGAATAGATTGATTTAAAACTCAGTGCAGGTTCATGCATGGACTAAGTAACTAACTCCTTTGTAATCACTTTCATACAAACACTTTGTCCTTTTCTTGTGGCTTCTCTGTCATATTACCATGCTTTGTACTGACTGGAACTTGTTAAGAAAAGGCCTTCTACCTTCTGAGAAGTCTTTCAACTTAATTCCCAAGGACATTATGGAAGAACAATTTCTGTAAATTTTTATTTGTTAATGAAGTAGTTTTAGTTATGAGGAAAGCTGCCATATTTACATTTCAAGAGACTGAAAAATAACACAGGCTCATTGTCCAACAAGGTGTTTTTTTTCCCTCCCTAAAAAAGCTGTAGTAAAATGAAACAGGGAAACATGAGAAAAAATTGAAAACTTCAAGTATTAGAAAGTCCCAGTTCTCAAGTGTACTGATTTTCAAAATCCTTTACTGTTAGCTTCTTCATAGAAGTAACATAGTTTCTAAGTTTTATAGTTACTAAGTTTCAAGCACTGAACTCAAGATTGCCATAAAAGCAAGTTCATCCTTATTTTATTACTGGACAGACTTGACTAATTTATGTACATAGGGGAGCCTGGAATCCTGAATTTCTAGTTCAGGTTCTTGTTCACAAGCTCATGATACCTATAAGGTTCCCATTTCCAAAGCTGCAGTAGACAGCACCCCCACTTAGTCTGTGTGACTACCTAAGGAAGAATGTTTTACATAAGGACAGTCATGCAGACCTGTCCACTCTGCAATAAATAATACTCTCATGCAATGATTTCAGTCACACGTGAAAGCAGTTAGAATAAAACCCCTTTGCTGCTGGGACAGCTCGTCACAGGAAAGAACTAACCCCACGAATGTAATTTCTGGTGTAACCTACTGGAAGAACACTTACATCTCTTTACAGGCATCAAAATGATTCCAGAAACAAGCCCCGACCCTTTGAGGACCTCACATACAAGCACAGCATTGAGCAGCCTACATTGTACAGCCAAATGTCTGTGTAGCCTTGCACTCTACTCCTGCTGTAGGGCATTATGGGAACTAGAAGTGATATTCCAGCACCAGCTCAGTTGAAGGT